TTGAAATTAAAGTTTAGTAACTCAGTATTCATCAAGAACTGACATCCGTTTGAGAACCATTGAAAACCTGGGAGGGCTGGACAGCTGTTCCATCCTAGTATGGGACTCCTCAGAAGCACACACGCATGACCTCGGCAGAGATCAAACTCAGGACCACTAGACTTCACAGCGAACGTGTTAATCACCCAGCTACTGAGTCAAAGTTCAATGCTTCACAGTTTTCGACTTCTGTAAGTTCGCAGTATAGCGCGACTGTCAACCAAGGTCTTCATTTGGCATCTGCTTCACTCCTAACTGGGAGACTCCACAAGTCATGACTTCTCAGTAGAACTTCGGAATATCCATCAAGAGGCATGTCTTTGATGAGCACTGTACCTTTACATCCGACCTGGTGGCTGACTGGTTAGCGCGGTCGCCGTGATACCTGAAGGTCCTGAGTTCGATCCCTGACGAGGTCATGGGTGCGTACTGCCGAAGGGTCCCACAGTTGGACAAAACAGCCGTCGGACGCTCTCTAGTTTTGAATAGTTCTCCAACTGATGTCAGTCCGTGACGAATGCTATCTGAAAATTAAAATCCTCCTTTGTCTCAAAATGAATTACTTAGGTTTAGTGTTAGATAATGGAAATGGTAGGAGGTCTAGACCTACGTTTTGCTGTTGTTGACACTCGTAAATAAGGCACATCTGTAACCATAAGGAAACTAGTGCTTCTTCGGTGGTTCGAGCATGCGTAACTCAGTGATGAAGTCAAAGGCCGAACCACTAAGCTAATCAGGCCACAAAATGACCCACTGTGGGACTGGTTTTTACATACTAATTGATCACCAGTTGGTAACGAATCGGCGTAGCTTTTAGTCTTTAGTGATCACCGGTGATGCTAATACATGTATGAGAAGAGAATTCAGGCACTGCAGCAGATTATAATTCCACTATAGTTCTTTATTATATGCATCCCCCAAAGAAACAACATTCATAACTCATGACTTTTCGGGCACCAGCTTATTGCTGACTCAGGTTAGCAGAACATAGAAACATGGCTGAACATGGAATGTTAGGATAAGGAAAATGGAAGAGAACTTAGTTAAAGCCATGCGTACTGCGACATTTAACCACGCAATAGAATGGAGTAGGGTGACAATTTTCGAAGATAACTTGAGTAGGTAGAAAATGAGATTGATAACTGAATCTTTGTTTTTCGAAAAGAAAGCTGACGCATGAAATAGAAGTGACGCAACACCAATTCCGAATATACAGACAGTTTTACTGCTAATTAGATGAAAGAATTAAAAACGGCAGAAATACAGAAACCAGATCCAAAAGTTGCGCGGTCACCTCGATATGTGCAATAAATTCTGCACGGAAAGTTATCAGTAAATATTCTTATTTCACTGTGTGATACGCATAAAAATGAATTATAATGGACCTAACGTACGTGATAAATCTATCGCGTTAGTATCAAACCCGCCTCCTATTTACACACCAGATTTATACACCACTGGTAATATCAGTTCGAGTCTAAGGGGGGACAACATAGCTTACTAGGAGGCAAGTACTTCCAGGTGACGAGTCCTAAACAGGACAAAACTCGCGTCCTGAATTCCACTGCTAACCACTATCCATCAATAATATCAAATTTAAAACACAGGCAGTAGTTAGGTATCGGTGAGAAATAACTTAAAGCATGATGTCAAAGCAATAATTTCAGGTACCCAGTTGAAGAATGTCAAATTTGATGAGGATTATATTAACCTTCAGTCGTCGGGTGGAAATCTAGTAGTGAGCATCTTCTAGATTGTATAAATTGGTGATGTAACTCATCTCTTTTCATTCCATCCAAATATATTATCCACTGGACTGACCATACTGACTGTGGTTTCGAAAGAGAACTTTGTGAGACACATCACTAACCTACTTGGTCAATAACAGTCATAATTACTGTTCATTTGAGTGATTTGGATGAAACTGATATATTTGTCGAATCAAAAAAACTTGGGGAATTTCAGCTACTGGATTTCAACTTGATGACTGAATGGTGAAGTAAGAGCATGGGACTTCACCGCAATGGACCTATTCCTAAACCCTCAAATGAGAATGAAACAATTGTCCAGTCTCCACTGATTCTCAGTGTTACTCCAGCTCATTTCAGTCGATGATGTAAACTACTACAATGTCCATCAATCACTTCTCCATGAACCAATTAACTGATCAGTAATAATAATAATAATAATAGTGAAAACAGAAAGTTAATTACTACGACCAGATTGTCAGTTAGTTAGTCGAAACTGAACCTTAATTCAGTACACATTTTCATCAACTTCGCAGTAATTTTTTGATGTCCATTGAGATAATTCTGTTCATTGTTTCCAATGTCTGGAGTACAAGTTGTTTTGAATATGATTTTCATGGAGTCAGTGTCAACAGACACAACACGACACAACACAATACGGTGGGATGCAACGAATCTGTTGTTTTGTTTGGAGAGATTTTCGATCTCTGTTCAAATGAGATCCATAACTTTCAAGATCAAACTCCTAATCTATTCACTTGGGATGATAATATTTGTTTCCGAAATGAACAGTAAACTTCAGTAAAACTAACGGAAACTTTTTTACTAACAGACGTAGAAAAGACGCAACTGGTACTAATTGTACAGACTAAACTAAGGGATTCACCTTCAAATTGTCTATGAGTTAAACTTAAACTATAGGGTTATGAGTTCGTAGTCTGTGCTGTGGTTCAGGGTGACTTTTAATTCTGTTCATGATGCCTCTATGCCTACTTGTGATACTGATTAGATGATCTTCATTTGTAAAAAGTTTGACTAAACTTATAAAGAGGTATAAAATCTACTCAGTTGTAATAACTTTTGGCTAACTGTTTGAAATTTTTAAATAATTGGAAAATTGTTCCTCAAGTCTGGTGTACCAGGCCAGGCCATACGGCCAGTCACATTGATTTAATTTGAAAAAGTCTAACCTTAAAGCTGAATTCTTATAGCTAAAAAACAGTTCTTAGATAACTGTGATAACTTGTGAAATTTACAAATCCATCCTCGGAGTTATGAACAACTGATCGCGTTCATTCTTGCCTGTATGAGTAACAGCACTACTACATGTATTCCAAAAAGATACTTTCCAGGCATTGTTTCATGATATTTCAACACAGCCGGATTTTAATTAATTACTTATTAACGTATGCATTACCGTCTATGTATGACAGTTAGTTCGACAATATAAGATCACATTTCATTTTGTAGCCTATCTGCTGGTGGTAAATTCTTAATTTACAATGAGTTGTGATCTTGTAAATCATGTCTAAAGGCAGCAGTTGTAGATAAATAATGGTCAAGAAAGAAATAATCAAAACTACCCAACACATACATTATGACTTCAAAAACTTTTATAACTTTTATGCAACTAAGAAGACAGACAAATTGCAGGTGTTGTCTTCCTTAAAATCTCCAACACCGTATCACTCTTTTATCGATGTTTAGCCTCACTGTTCAATTCATTTTGTTTATTTTCATGTGTCCACACAGCTTTTAGTTCTTCCAGCCGTTACTGTTGGAATGTTTGGGGCCACTTAAACCGACAGACTTTTAAAAAAATTCTATACCGCTCCGCTTGTTTTAACATCTGGTGTTAACCGTTGATTAAATAGTATTTCAGTGGACTTATTTTGCTTGGAGGTCAGTAGTGGCCAAAATAGATCAGTGTTAATGTCTCAGGCTGCAATACTAGATGGCGTGAGTTCGAATCTCTTAAAAGATATCAGTTCACTTTAATTCGTATGTACGGCCTGGTAATGAGTGCTGACAAGCATAGAACCCAGGTCCAGGGCTTCCTACTATGACCTTAAGCTGACTAATAATCATTATGATAGTCTCATTTAGAAGTAGATAATAAATGATTGCACAATTCAATACTTCCATGTGAACATGGTGCCTTTCAAATGCAGATTTGTTATTTTACCAAATGAAATAACCTTTCCTAGTGGTCAGTTAAGTGGGTGGACTGTTTGGTAGGAGTATTCATGAGCAGATATTATCTAATAAAATACGATTAAGTGAAGCAGTTTTTCGTCTTATTTTGGTAGCTTGTATTAAGTTCAAGAAGATATGAAACTTGAGCAACTATATTATTTTGGATTATGTCTGATGCATTGAAGATACTTCCCGGTAATGTTTGTCTGAAGTAAAATTCCATAAGCAATGGGTTACGTCTCAGTACTTAGTATTAGCAACCAACTAACTGTGAAATATATAACTCAAACACTGGTCAAAATGAAGTTACTCAGTACTTGCAACGTAATGCGTTATTTGGCATTGTTAGTCTCATGAACAAACACTTGATTTGTGAAATATCAGTAAACTAGGCATCAGTAAACAAAAACAAATGGCAGTTATGGTCGTCTTTTGAGTAACTCGTAGGCGTGAGAAATCATGGTAAAATACTGCTGATATTTGTTAGTGAGCTGTATAACACGTTTTAACCATACAACAAATCAAAAAGTATGGGTACACTTGTAACACCCTAGTAATAAGACATCTTGATACTTCAAGATCCTACGTAGGTTTAATTTCAGAAGAGGGTAAAATGACATTTCAAGTTGTTATTCATCGTAGACTGACATCAGTTGGAGGAACAAAGGAAACCTGGGAGCACTGGACAGCTGTTTCATACTAGTATGGGTCTCCTCAGCAGCGCGCACCCACGACCCTGCCAGGGATCGAACCCGCGACCTTCAGGTTCCGCGGCCAGCGCGTTACCATTGAGCCACTGGGTCAGAATCCGATGCCCCATATTTTCAACTTCTGTTAGCTCACGATGACATTGTTAACATATTCCAGAATAAGAAGTAAGAGTCATCTGGTGCTCATTGACTTACTTTGAGATTTTTAAATGACACATCATTTTCATGAAGAAAAGTTTTAGAAATAAGTTGTGCACTTAGCTCTACAATTCGTATGGTTATCCTTGTTAACTCTTTTGTGTTGTAGTTATCCTTACTATCGTGAAAATAAACAAGGTTGGCAGAATTCTATACGACATAATCTCAGTTTGAATGATTGTTTCATCAAGGTGCCCAGAGATGATAAGAAACCGGGGAAAGGCTCATTTTGGACTTTACATCCAGAAGCGCATGGAATGTTCGATAATGGTTCGTATTTACGACGTAAACGCCGTTTTAAAACTGACCTAACATCAAATGAACGTTACTGTAGTATGAAAAAACGTAGTTTCATTGAAGATAGTGTACTAAGATCAATTCGGAAAAATTTGATCAAAAAGAATTCAGATGATAAAAGAATAAATTCCAGTAATATAAATGAGGTAGAGAGAAACAATGGAGTAGAAGATGAAAACGGTGACAATGATGGGGAATTGGATGATTTTAATGAGGATAGTAATAACAGCAACCTTGGAGATAAAAGTAAAGACAATACAAAATCGTCAACTTTCGAAATTCCGCTAATACCAAAATTAAATTATCCACCTAATTCAAATACATATCAGACAGTGAACATCTTCGATGGTGTTACTACTATTACTAACGCTGCTGCTGCTGCTACCACTACATCTGTATGTTTGACAACAACGACTTCAAGTATCACATATCATCCACTTTTATGCTTACAACGCCAAGTTGTGGCTCAATCAGGTTTAGTTAACAAGTCATTCGAAGTGAAAAATTCTGATGATGACATTCAAGATCAACAAATTCATGTAAATTTAAATACATCAATGAAGTTCACGGATGAATATCATTCTAGTGATAACTATTATTCGTTGAGTAGTACTACTGATACATTCAAACCTTACACCATGCTAAGAATCTCAGATGAATCTCTTCATAGAAATGAGGTCAGTTGATATATTCCAGTTGGTTATTAGTTTTGTATTTATTGTTGTTGTATTTGAAAATTAAAAACAATTGGATTTTTAATGCAAAAATAGGCGCGTCGATTAGAATACTAAAAAGAATTCTGATTTATTAACTAAATTAGTTTTTATTAAAAAATTAGTGTTTTTGGATTAAATGAACTCACCGTGTTCCTTTTATTGTGCAGTATAGACTTTCCTCAAAGTTATCTGTTGACTGACTAACTATGGATTTCTAACTTGATAGTCTAGGCACTTAATGTCCCACACATTCAAATCTGGCATCACTAATTCTATATTTTACTGGGACATACATGGAGCTAACTGTCTCATGAGTTAACGGGGATGTAAATAAGATCTGGAAACAGAATTGAAGTAAACTTTTTCTATCTTCTATCTTACTAATCTACTTATTCCTGTTTTTTTGGTGTATGCTTATTTCTAAACAAAAATCTAGAAATATGGATACATTCACTCAATGATGTAAGCATTAGGACAGATAAGCAAGAAGTTTGAACAAAGTTTATAACTTACAATACTGAATTTTAGTTACTGCTCTTCACACACATCTATCTGATGTATATATATATTGGGGTTTCACTTCTTTTCTTAACCTTTTCTAGCTAACTTTAGCAATGTTGATTATTGATACAATTAGACTATAAGCCGTAACATTGATAAGTTATTGATAACACGGTTTTGTCAGCCTTAAATTGATTATCAAGGTGACAAACGTTTACTGATTTTTGCATGTTTCACGTGTGACTTGAAAGCATTCATTTGACTTAAAGCTTACATTGTTTAAGAATAGTACAGAAGTTAGTTTAGGTGATATAAAACCAGTAGGGTAACTTTTTTTATTGTACAGTTTCTTGTTTTCATGCATGTGTGTGCAACGTTACTATGGCACAAAGTTTCATCAGAACCATATACTCAAGATGGTATTTACCATCTGACTTGATCACAGTTACAAATTAGTCAACAGGTTGTTTATCAGTAGTACCTTGGAAGAGTCAGTTATCAACGTTTATGAATGTAGAAACTCTTTAGTAACAGCAGTTACAAACTGATAATTTTGATTGGTGTTTATTACTATTAACCAATAAGAGGTGTGAAATCTTTCTTCACTTATATTCTTCATTCGAAATTGACTTCGGGTTCGTGACATGTACCGCTTGGCAGGCACATGGAAATTATATATATTGGGTTATTTGTTAAATTTTGACTGTTGTGCTGAACAGTATTATATATATGTGTATAATACTGTAGAGAGAGGGAGAGAAAGAAAGAGAAAGAGAGAGAACCTTAGTAGTTAAAGGAATAAATTTCCAACTCATTTCCTGTTCATCAGTTCCCAAATTCTCCTGAAAGCTTGGCTAAGAGATGTTTTAATTCTGTAGCTTCTATTGTTCTGTTTTCTATCCGTGAACAACTCCCAATGAAACTCAATGTTTCATTTTGGTTTATCCAGTGAGATAAAACTTTAGCCACTACGGAAACAGTAATTTCAGGAGCTTTTTCTCTTACCGAATGAAACAAAAGCCGTAAGAACACAAACATGATACAGAAAGGACACAAAGAAATGCACCACACAAAGCAGTATAACAACATTATGAAGACATCAAGCGAGCGGAAGCGGATAAAAATGAAACAATAAGAACAGAATGATTGGAGAGGCAATCCAACAAGATACGTTTAAGACTAAATGCTCAATAATTTTCAGCAGCAGAAGAGAGAAGGAAACTACTGCATGACCGCCAGTGGTTTCGATTCTGAGACATATATGGTACCGTCTCAAGCCACTGAGTTACGTGATCTCTCGAGCTCTCCCTCCACGGAGAGTCGTCATGCACCAACAGATGCGAACTCGATACAACTATCCTTCATCCCACAGCGCCACATCAAACACTGACCACCCCTCCGCTACTTCCATCCAATCCCAGAGCTAGTAAACAATGAACGGTATGAAAACCGTTGGGACGAAATAAATATACATATCCAAGTTACTGAAGTCGGTGTTTCAAGACGACTTCATTTATTGAATGACGATCTCTATCATGCCGAAACACACGCTGTTGTACCTCAGAACTACTACTTACATGTTGTTGCCACCGGATATGAGAAATACTGTGGAGAAAACGATTAATTGGACATCCTCAGCTTGGAGAGACCAGGTTTCACAGGCGTAGACGAGAGCTACCCTCACCGAAGCGTTGTAAACGCGACCCATTACAGTCAGACTAACGTCACAATGGTGTCAATGATGGGTCAGGTTGGCGTATGCCATTCTGGTTTTCTATATACGGTTGGAAATGTCATTACTCACATCTCAACCAGCACTCACACAACTACCCAGATACACGGACTTTTCTACTACTTCCGGGGGCTCACCACTCAGGGTGAGTGCAGACACATGCTCCTTCCAATCTTGCTAAAGTGCTTTGGATTTTAATGGCGCAAAGCACATAGCATACTTACAGACACTGATCGCCAACTGATTGAGTACGATCTGGATGGTTGGTGTGTTACTGCGCGGTAAGACTCTATCGTCCGCATATTCAAGGTGGAATAGTCGAGTGACTTTATACAAAACCCGTTGCACTAATTGTTTAAGTCGGAAGGTTGAAGCTCTCATCTCGTTTCCCATTATTAGAAAATTCTTTTAACTTTAAAACTTATTGAAAGTGATTTTTTATGAGAGGACTGTATTCAACTTTTGAAGTGTGCTGCAATAAAACCTCGTCCTAGGAGTTTTGTGATATATGGGGGGCTACTCGTTCAGAAATTGAAATATTTTCCATCGTAGGTTTTTTGTCTGTGGAAATAAATCTGAAATAATATTTTATTTCTTCATCGAAGGCCTAAATAACTGAAAAAAGGTAGGTGTAAAGTGATACAAATAAGTTACCAAAAATAAATCTATATATATACACTTTAAGTAACTATCTGTAAATCTAGGGACCTAAGTGACATTCGATATCATCAAATTTTGCTCTTATAGAACGATACATTTACGGCTTATATTTTAGTCAAACAAAATCATTTATAATCACATATACCTTCACTTATGCTTACACACACTAGCATACGTATCTCATGCGAACATTGTCATGATTATTGCAATGCTAAAAGGGGACAGAATTAGTTTACACATTTCCCAGAACCCTTTTTGTGAAAGTTCAGAAAGGAATAAATAAAAACACCCCTGAACTGTCCGATAAATGTATTTGCCTGTATATATATATATATATATATATATATATATATATATATATATATATATATATATATATATATATATATATATCTTTGCAGACACCATAAGGTTCTAACCTTGTTCAAGGAATAAAAGTTATCCAACTGCTTAAACAACTTTCAATGATCAAATACAGTAAATGTATGTGCAAAATGGAACACATTAGTCGACCCAAATGTAGGACAGGTGAAATGTAAATTACTTTCACACTAAACTAAATTTGTAGTCAGATCCAAAATCAAGAAATATAGTTTTACTAAATATTCCGTCATGATTGAATGATAGAACTCTCATGTTTAACTAATTTTGACATAGACAAATTGCAGGAGAAAATGGGAGTAGATAGACGAAAAAGTTAAAAATTTCTAACTAGTGGAGCAACAATCCATTCATGGCAAAACAGGTGACTTGGCAGTTGAACGAGTATGTCAAAGTAATCCGATACGCCTGTTTCACCTTAATGTAGAGTCGTCGGTTAAATGTTTCTGCATCGCAGTGAGTGATGAATAACACCAGAGGGTTCGAAAAATGGATTCTGTATGAATTTCAATGAAAATATCGCCACTAAGATACACATGCATGCAGTAAACAAGTAAGAAGCAAGTTAGTTACCATTGTGCAAATAACATCAAGTATTTCGTTTCTTTAGAAAATTCTTTCTTTCCGCTACCCTGATATTCACCATTGTTCTGTTTTTCTTCAAAAGGTTGATAAACGAACTGTGAAAGATACTGATGTTCAACAAGAACTTAATCAAAACTATGCAAGCAGTTGTCAAGGTTACTTGTTCCTAAACTTACAACAAAACAAAACAGCTACAAATTGTTACTTGAATAATGGAGGGTGGGAAGATTTATCAAAGACTAACACAAATGAAATTAATACAAGAACATCTTGTGAAATAACTAATCGAAATCCAGCTATTTTGACCAGTGAGGTTGAGTTTCATAAAAAGTTACCTCTTTCTAATACAAATGTACAATTTTCATTGTCACCATTTTATTCGAAGAGTAAGGAGTACTGTGAACAAACATTTTGGTCAAATGGTGAGGATTTAAAACTCGATTCATGGGATAATTCATCGAAGGTTAATGCTTATGAACCTAGTAATTCACTGGTTAACAATCATTCTTCGTGCTCACGATCACCAGTTAATGAATCTGGCTGTCAAAGTACGGGTGAAACTGTTCTTAATCAACCGGAATGTCCTCAGGTAATGACTATTTTTTATGAGATTCTTACTGAGAAGAGTTTAGTTTCTTAGAGAGAAAAAGGGATACAGTCTATTGTTCGTAACTAAGATTGTAGCGTAAGAATAATTATTGAATGCTTTTTCAACAGGAAAATCAGACATTGGGCATCCGAGCAAAAGTTTTTAAGTACCTTCTGTTTTCCAAAAGCAATCAAAGGACCTAAAACCTGAAGACAACATTTGATTAATATATTATCAAACTCATATAAAAAGCGGAGAATATTATAAAGTATATGGACAATTATTGCATTTAGTACCATAGGATTTAAAGTTATCAGAATAAGAACATGGAAAACCATTTTTTTTAGTAGTGTTTTATCTTACAGAATATGTGTGGCTAATTACATTCACTTGGGACAGAAACTCACTCTTATTGCTGATAAATCATAAAAACTTCACAACTAAATATATATTTTACATAACTTGCTAGAGGAATATTGTAGACTGAAAATCATTTAAGAGTAGTTTGAGACTCATGATCATACTCAACTTGCGTCTGATTCCAAACCTAATCCTGAAAGTGGCATGCTGTCTGAGAGATCTGAATGTTGAAATGGTGGAGAATATTTGTAGCTCAGATGGATGATCTAGAAAAACAATAAAAGTTTCACGACTAAACCATCCAGCTCAGAGAACACAATACAACCATGATCTGAATGTATGAGTGGCAAAGTGAATCACTTTAAAGAAAGAATGACTAATCAGTGACCATGTATTATATGAAATTTCAGACCACACTTCAGACTCAGTAGTAACACTTTCTCAAAATTTTCTTTCATCATCCAGATTAACCTGCCGATAGTCACGCTTTTAATTTTCTGAACAGTTCAGTAACTTCTGAAATGTTTTTACACTGATTCCTTTATGTATACTGAACAAGTGATAGTTGTAACCAGAAGGCATAAACATTCTATTAGCTATGTGTGCCGCAGGTAATAATTATGTATCTGAAGTACTGAGAGTAATCTCTTAGCATATCGACTTGTGCTGTATGTGAACTAAGACACAGTAGCATCAGTGTTTAATCTTATAGGTTTCTTTAATTTTGAAAATAGATAGTAAAATAGCCTAATGTTACGAAAATTTTCACAATGATACAAGTCGATGTTTTTTACAATTAACCACAAAGTTTATTTTTCCATAAATCCTTCTTACTGATGATGTATTCAAAAAATCAGGTGGTGTGAAGCAGTTACTTTCATAATGGTTTTTATCAATTCTTTTTTGTTTTTGTAGAATATACAGTACAATGCACAACAAGAGCAGGTATCACGTGAATATATATTAGCACCACTTCAATCCATGAAAATGGCAGCAGCCGCTTTTGCATGGCAAGCAAGTTTAGCTACCCGACAACAGAATATTCATTATAACAATGATCTTGGTGTTAATTATGAAACACTATGGAATCGTTGCACTCCAAATAATGTTGAGTGTTTAACACAAGAGGTGAATGAGGGAAGAATTGTTGATAATGTTGAAAAACCACGGACTACATGGTATTCAATATGTAGTGAATCTATAGGACAGACTACTCACAGAAATATAGAATCCACATTTGAAGATCTGAAGCTACAAGGTATGCATGAATCATCATCATCATCGTCACGTTCATCAACTAGTGGAGATTCATTAGTTGGATTAAATGAAACCGACTTCAATTTAACCACTTCAAGTCAGTCACCGAACAGATTATTAAAATACGATCAGCCTTTAGGTTGAATCATTGAACTGAGTTAATATATCAATATAATGCTGTTTTCATAATCCATTTTAACACTGATGATAAAATTAACAGTCAAGGCTGAAAAGTCTTATCACAATGAGTCATCATGAATTATGGTTTAAATCTTAATGTCGGTTTCCTTCTCACTACCTTAATGAGTACTTTATTTCGCATACTTAGTACAAGATACATATTATATATATAATGCTACATACATATAACTGATTTGGCTATTAGTAAGGTGTTAACTGCAAATAACATATGGCGCCTACTTCTCTTATTACACACTGTACATGTCTGTCACTATCACAAGTAGTTTTCGAATAAAACTGATATTATTCCTCAATGATTTGTTCACTTTTGATACATTAGTTATTTAGCAAACCTAATAGACTAAGTGGTTAAAACAATCGAAATGGTCATAATCCCAGTTTTTCATCGTTTCATCAGTTTAGTCCTACTGGGAATAATGTTTTTTTCTAGCTAAGGTTCAGTTTATCTCGCCAGCTTCAGACTGCACACGAACCTGAAGTAATTACGCATTTATTCTATCAAGATTTTCAAGTTAATACAATAATGGTGTTACATTCTTAAAGAACTTTAAGGTATATAAAATACAGTCTTATCATTCAGTCTGAAGTGACAACGTTCGATTAGTGGGTATACATACCTTTCTACGCCAGACAATAGCATCATGACGTTTTTAGCTTATTTAGCTTAAACCAATTAAGTAGGCATCATATTTCAATATTATAAGACGAATTTATAATCTAACTTCCACATGGTATAATATCTTCTCTTCACAGTGCAGGAATTCTTAACATTTGGGATAGTGAGTCAGATATTCTCAGAATAGAGTGATTCAGATTTCTTCCAGATGGTGCATTTGAGTTTTGCCACTTGATGAAAAAAAATTCGGGTTTTACAGTACATAAAATAATAATGGTACACTGTTGACTGAGTGTTAACCTAAAACTTAACGTTATATGACAATTTAGAGTTGTAACCATGGTGTAATTAGCTCTTCAAAAAAGAAGAGATTGACAGTACAAATAAGTAAATGAAATTCAGTAGAAATGCCAAATACACTTCTGCTGATCTGATTATTCATTCATTCTGATAGTAAGTACACATATGTGTAGCGAAAATAATAAAGTTAAGCGATAAGATGTCACACAGTGAAAGGAAAGATAGTAGCAATGAATATGAAGTCACACAAACACTTGATGGGCTGATGAATTTATTCTCAGTACTAAAAGAATGAAACTTCAGAATAATTACAGCTGAACCCCAAACTGGTAAAAGAGACATTCAGTGTTTATATCATTTCGATTTAGTCGGCGACCAATGGTGATCTGTAAGAGTGCTCTGTAACTGTTAATATCGGTGAGTGAAATACTTTGTGCAGCTTTCATACTTGCAATCTCGAGCAAATCACGTTTTCCGGTCTGAGTGTCATGATTTTCCTAGGAAATCATGGTGAAACTTCACAATTTGTTTTCATCTGTATCATTCTCATCATAGACAGCGTATTTTGCAGACACTTGATTTAATCTTATCAAGCAATTTTGTTGGTTGGGACTTGAGCATATTTAAAAGATTTATTAAAACAGTTTTAGTATTCCTCCTCTGTAGTTTTCTTTTTGGATAAACTCAGGCTTTATTTAACAGAGTTAGTGATGTACAATTTCATCTGATTTATCTGTTTGTTGTTAGTATTTGAATGCAGGTTTGTAGAATCTTTTAGTAAAGCGTAATCAGCCATCTTTTTGGACACGACATACTTGTCCAATGATGTATGACATAGTAACTTGTATGCAGTGAAAGTTTACAGAGATGATCAGACCTAACTTTCTCTGCTATAACGACTGAATGTGTCAAGTTTGGAAGACTAAGTATTGATCAAGGTAAGGGGGTTGGCTGAATCGGAATGTACAGTGAAAGTTTATGTAATCCTTCTGAAACTTGGATTCTGTGAAGATACTAGATGTGCTGAGTTTATTTTACCAAGATGTCATTGTGAGTAATCTTTTTAAGGTATATGCACCTATGACCATTTTAATTTTGCCAAAAAACAGTGTGTTAATTTTCTCACTCAAAAAGTTAGTCGTGTATATGAAAGTTTTCAGTCCAAATGCCTAATATTTGCTTGCTGTTTGCGGTTTATAGATGATGAAGGAATCAGAGCAAGTGTTCGATTTTGCTTCGAGTACAATCCCGATGAATTTAAAAGTGATGCGAATATGACTGCGAATAAAAATCCTCCCGAATGTAGTTAAGTTTAGTCATAATTCGCCAAGTTCTCCATTATCTATGACAGTCCAAAAGCCTACTACTAGCTGTTCGTCCTGTGGAAAAAGGGGGGGGGAGATTTTACGGTCAAATGTCTATAAAAGAAACGTAAGTAAAGAAACTACCAAGACATATGGATGGATAAAAGGAAGCATTGTGCGAACCTAGCTTTTCTTTCCATTTCGCTAGTTATTTTAAACCTAGTGGTATTTTGCTTCTAGCACTACAAAGCTACGCTGTTGAGAAATTCTCCTCAGTTCCGTTCATTCAAAGGTATGTTCATAACCTCAGCTATCTGCTGATGTTCATGTAAATACATTAAAAATAAGGGTTAAGTTAGTCGGTATACTGTTCGTTATAGAAAGATAAATTGTCTCTAACTTAATCCTAAATTAATTTTTAAACTGAAGAGGAAAGTCCCTTATGCAGTAATGATGTTAGTTCCTCAGAAGTTGCGCCCAGCCAATTATAGCAGTTGGGTAGCAGCAGTAGGTATACAGCAAAGCAGGAATTGGTCCCAATTCTTCTGCGAGAGTGAATGCTGCACGATAAGACCACTCACATCCATTTACATTTTGGGATACTTTTACCAGCTTAAAACAGTGAAACGTACTCTTCGGAGCTCTATTTGGCCGATCCTAATTTGAAGTAAGGAAAGAATTCCAGTTCATATAACTAATTACCTTCAGGGATGAACAGTTATTCTGCTGGGTTACGATTTCAAAATAAAGTATAAGTGTGAGCAGTATTTTGATCAGGTAGGTACACCCTGGCACTTTCGAAGTAATAGACTGGAAGGTATGGTTCCAGTGAATGTTACTGTTTCTGTTGAAAAGTATGTGAAGGAAACCCTAATAAACACGGTCAATCCCATATCTCTATCATTAGCACTTGTGAGAGAAACTTGTTGTCATGACGCTATGATACGTAGTGGTATCTCCTTACTTCGTTGTAGATGGGCTTTGTATGTCACTTCCATAAAATTAACAGTTTTATTGAATGTAGAATCCCTTTTATAGTTGACAGTTGTCCAGTATTCGATGGTCTCGTGGTTGTTCCACAATTGATGAGAAATGCAGTGATTCATCAACTCTACTCTTCGCACACGAGCATTACTAGAATAAAGGCACTCCCTCACAGACATGTTGAATAGCCAAAACTAGATAACGAATTGGAACGTATGACCTACAACTGTGACACATATACAGAAGCCATTGAATGCTGAGTTAAAGTGAGAATGAAGTCGTGGTTCCAAGTCCTTTGATTTTGTTCATCTATTCCAAATAATTTTCTGGTGATAACTGATATGTTTTCAAAATGACCAGACGTTTTTATTAGGCAGAATATTTTTGCCACAATTGTTATTCAGAAACTGAGAGAAGTTAGTCGTTATGATCCACTTGATATAGTTGCTATGCCTTAAGAGTAAAATTTAACCACTGTGGTTATACAGTTTGCATCATATCATTCGACTAGTTTTGCAAAGAAAATAATATCGAGAATATTCGGTACGTGCCATATTACTGTCAGTCAAATGGTCAAGGAGAACGGTTAATTGATATACTTAAGTAAACCATTTCAAAATGTAAAAGGAGTAGATGATAGAAGCAGTGAAACAGGAATTCTCTCTGAGTTATCGAAAAAAGTAATTAATAAAATAGGGGGGTTGGTAGGTTAACACTGGAATGAGGTTGTGTACAGTTGATGGGCCTTAAACGTAAAGAAAAACGTATTCTTTATCTGAATGGGATGGCGGCAGTTATACATTTACCAACGAATTAAATTGCCTAAAATACTAAGGCAAACTAAATGTTCCAACCTTCTGAAATCAGCCCATTAATGATACCATAGTTATAGCTTTGTTGTCTGTATTATATGTGGAATTTATCTAGGTGAAATTTTGCTATCGACCGTGTTGAAAATATTGGTTGCTGTCGTATTTTACAGAAGAAGGTAGTTGTTCATTCATATGCCGAAGGCAAGATTTTATTCTTGTCGTGGATATATCAGCAGCGTATTCCACATCTACCTAATGTCTAGACATCTCAAGCATTGTATGTCAACAACTATTACAATCCAGCGAACAAAGCGATTACTAATTCAGCTTTAAAAAGGGATGTGTACCGTATCGACCTTATTTTGATTTTGATTTCGTTTTATTCGGGAATTATTATCAACTTCTACATCGCCTAGGTAAGCATTTTGTTTCAAGTTTAGGGATTTCATAAATCTGTTAACCCTTTTATTCAGTTTCTGTTTATAATCTCGTAAAAAAATGTGATAAAATTTTTAAATCCAAAATAATAGCGAGCAGCACAACAGTTGTTAATCCGAAATCATTACACTAAAAGAAATTAGGACTGCCTTTGATTTGTTGGAGAAAACTGCTCTCCATCAAACTCTTAAAAAAATGCTTAACATTCTAAAAGTCCTACACGGTTATCTTTAAAATATTGTTTCAAACAAGAAGTTGGCTGAAACTAACTAACATCACCATTAGTCTTTTTCGAGAGACACTTCCTAACTAAACCAGATGGGGGAGTTGGCATATTCAAAGATCTACGTGCCTAAGGAACAGTGGCATAAGTTCCTACCAAATGAGAAGGATACAGGTAAGCTCAAATACATTGGATAAAAACTGAAAGTTACTTAGGCAATTTAGGGTGGCCAGGGAGTACTAGAAAGGTTTGCTATCAATTAAGGACTGCGATAACCAGAAAAATACCTGCAAGTCTGATGTGACTGTTGGAATTCCATATAAAAACATACAATGCAACTACACGCGCGCTACAAATATCACATTAGGTGAAACTATAAAAAAGGGAAATTGGATAGTGGCGTAGTGTGAGTTAATAATAAAGATGCGTATAAGTAGCATGTATGGAAACACCAGTAGTAATAACGATCGACCGTTGAGGAGTCAAGCAAAAAGAACAAACAATTAGTATGAGGGTTTTTGTATGATACCGTCGTTGATTGGACCGAATTGATCGGTCTCTATTGGCATATGGGCTCCTGTGCGGATGCCTCGATATTGCCAGCAATCTAATTATGTT